CCCTTTCTGTTGGACCCTATGAAAATGAAGACCTATACGACCTGATGCCCCTGGCGAGGCTCGTAATTACAGACTGAACACCTGGGAAAGGGTTTGGGAGAGTGGCTAGGCCAAGAATCTCTTAGTTATCAGGGTGGGGTAAGGAGAGGGGAGAGTGGGAAAGAGCTGGGGGCAGGGGTGGGGCAGGCATCTTGGGGCCCCCTTTGTCCTGTGGGGCCTCGGCAACTCAGACAAATGTGGCAGTTAGGTTGAAGGATAGACTGTGGGACATGTAAGGTGACTCAGGCCCTCTTCTTCCCTCATTATTAGGGAATGCCTTAGCTTCTGGAGAGGAGCACAGACTCTTCTGAGTCTTTATGGTGTTCAGTGGCCCTATGTATTATCTGACCTCTTAGGAGACAGAGAGGATCATAGGACTACAGGTTCATAGGTCTATGGCTGCAGGGGACCTTAGAAGTGGTATAGTATAGCCTCATTTTGCAGATGAGAAAACTGAGGCCCAGAGAGATGAAGTGACTTGTCCAGAATTACACAGGATGTACAAGTCAGAGCTGGAATTGCAATTCAGGTTCTGTGATTCCATGTTCAGTGTGCTTTTTGAACAGTATCCTTTCCGGAATTATAAGTATGAAGTTTCACAGACTCTGGGTGTAGTGCTAAATTTATCTGTCTAAACTTTGCCTTCATTTTCTCAAGAAGGATGGGGAATGATGAGGTCTCTAGGAACTCCAGAGGAAAAAGCGGTGAGTAGAAAAAAGATCTCAGTAGGGTCTCCCCTTCTTAAAAAGTATGGTGGACATGGCCTTTGTTAGGGAGGTGTTGGAGTCTGGGACCCATCGGAGCACAGGGCCTAAATTTGGAAAAAACTATCATGGTTTTGGATGAATTATATTGACTTCTTAGAGCCCTACTGTAGGAAAGCAGGAAGGAGGTGATCGGTGCTGTACTCTTAATGTTGAAGGAATATAGCATGGGAATATTAGCCAAAGGACTCTTCCCCACCATTATGTTAATCATCCCCTATTCTGCTTGCTGGAGGTGGGAGATCTAGAGGAAGACACTGCATATCCTTCTAGTCTCTTCCCAATTTCCAGTCTGATGGAACAGCTACCCTAGGCAGATTTCTCTATGGGAGATTGGTGGGGTGTGGGTGGGGAAATCACCTTTCATCTAGGATTGTTGCTTTTTGTGGTCTTTGTATCCACAGAGCTTCTTCGTGCAAGATAAACATTTTTAATATTATTGTCACTAGGGTATTCCTGTCACCACCATGCTGGAATTTTGGCTTGGGGATGTCTGATTCCCTCTCCAGGGGGCCATTGTATGTTATAGGGATGTGTGGTAATGGTTGACTGGGATGGTGGTATTCTATAATTGGGAATATGAAAAAACATCACTTTGCCACCCTCTCTACCCTCCAGTTACCCCCTCCTCCCCAAAAGACCTTTCATTTTGTTTGTGCTGACCCTGGATTCTCTGCTCTTTGTTATTTATTTATTTATTCTTAAGGGGGAAATTGGGGGTGGAGAGGGACAGGTGCAGAGACTGAGGTGTGAACAGAGGAACTTTAAAAACAACTGAGTGTGAATGGAGACACTCGTTTTCTCACCTGCTTAACTCCAGGAATGGCTCTGTGGGGAGAGGAGGGGTGCTAAAAATCTTTTATTAGAGTTAAAAGCTTTGGGTAGGGATGGGGTAATGAGAAAATGGGAGGGGCCTTCTCACTGGGGTCCTTTTTGAGTTGAGGGGGGATTTGCACCTATCTGTGTTTGCCAGTCTGCCAAGAAGGAGGAAGAGTCTGAGCTGGGGAGAAGACATGGTCAAAAGAAACCCAGGATGGCTTCTCTCTCCCCTGTATATGTATTAGACCCTCCTATCCCATTGTATCAGTATACCCTGCAATCCATTTAGGCCTGTTGTAGAACCCCTTCCCTCTCCCTTATGCACACACTTCTGCCCCTCCCACTTTTCCAGCCTCTTTTGAAAAATGTTCTGCATAAAACTAGATTCACCCCACACTGGTTTCTATTCCCCCCTCCCAATTATGCCCCTTCCCTCCTAATGCACAATTAGGTCTATCCCATTGCTTTTTACCTCCGTTACCCTCCAAGGTCTGCCTTTTCTGTATAGGTCCATCCCAGGTTAATAACTCTCACTTCCTCTTACACATATCAGCCCCATCCCATTCTCTCCTGCCCTTCTTTTAAGAAGGCCTATCCTATAAACCCTCCCCTCCTAGGTCTATCCCACACTCATTCTCAGGTGGTCACCTAAGTCCCCGCCTCTCCTTTGTCTTCTCTTCCCAGGGCCCCTCATATACACATAAAGGCCCCCCCTGTTGCTTCTCTAGCTTGCACGGCCAGGTAAGGGATGGGTTAATGGACTCTGGGAAACCTTCCTAGGGCATGACAAGCCAGACCTTGGTTTTGTTGAAGACATTGACGGAGCTGGATTGTGGGGGTGGGAGAGGGAGATAGGATTATTTGGAAAAGGAAGATTTTTTTTTTTTTTGGTTGGGGAGCACAGGGGAAGTTGGCCTCATCTATTGGAATCCAGGGCACACACTTCCTGTTATCCACATGTCTGTTCTTGCCCCTCCTCTCAGGTGTGTGTGGGGAATCCTTTGCCACTCTGGAGTTGTCAGGAAGCTAGCTGAAGCTTGTGATTTGGTGGGGATGCTAAATCCTGCCCTTGGAGGGAGAACCCAGGCATCCAGATTCTCTCTGCCAGCTCCACTGCCTCTTGCTCCCTCCCTCTAGCCCCTGCCTGGGACAGATGCCAATGAGATTACTCAGCCTATTCTCCCGCCCCCCTCCCCCTGTTCCCCCCCACTCCCCAAGTCTGCTGTTTCTGTGACTGGTTGTGGGAACAGTGGGAATGGGCCTGGGATAGACTGGGGAATGGAGGGTGGGGATGTGTGTGTGATCCTGGGAGCCAAGGTGGGGGTGGGGGTGGGGGTGAAGAGAGCAAAGCAGGTCTCTGCAGAGCCCGCTGGGCTGGGTGGGGTAGAGTGGAGCTGGGTGGAGCCAGCAGGAGCTTTTCCAGGTTTCTGAA